ACAAGTGTTTAATCTCTCCTCTCAATTTTTTTCAGACCCACAGCTTATAAGAACAATGCTCTGGATACCACTGTTAAGATAAGCAATGGGCAGCAGAAGCATAAAACATAAAAAATCATACAAACCATAAAACAGAGAAGAGGAAAGGTTAGGGAACAGAGCAATTTCGTATTTGCTGAACAACCATACCATTCTGCTTGTTTTTCATTCATATATAAGGCAAATATATGAAAAATGACAGCCATACATAGAGCCCATAAATGCTGTCAGTAAAATACATGTTCCCACCATCATTAAGTGTGTAGATTTGCCTAAAATCAGAAACCTAACAAGATATTATCTACTGCACTAAGTAAACATAATTACTGCAGAACTTTACCCACTAATACAAGCAACCATAATTAATTATAGCAGTAAAAACTAAATGAAAAGTTTTACTGTATTAACAGCCTATAATTAGTATATTGTAGGAAACTTCGTCCCTGACAGAAATATTAAAGACATTTTGAGCGAGGTTTAAGCATCCACATTTTGAATACATGTCTGTCAGAGCATTAGAGACAAACAAATCACGAGAAGATCCAACCCGAATAATCCTGGCATGAATTTCTTTTCCAACATTCAGGAAACCTAATCTTGCACAAGCTGGAAGAACATTTGTGAAGGTAACATTGTTGGGGGTTTCTCCCTTTGCTTGCATTTGCCTCACTAGTTCTACAGCTTCAAACTCAAGCCTGTTCTGAGCAAAATTTGCAATCATAGCATTCCAAGATACTATGCTTCTGCCTTCCATTTTATTAAATATGATGGATGCTATTCTCGAAGATCCTGATTTCGCGTATATATCTATCAACGAGTTAGCAATAAAAATATCAGACTCAATAGCCATCCTTAAACTAAACCCATGGATTTCCATTCCCCATTTGAAAAGTCCTAATTCTCCTAATACAGGTAGCATACTAGAAATGGTGACAGAGTTTGGTCTCATTCCAGTACCAATCATCAACCTAAATACATCCAAAGCATCCATATATTTCCCTCTAAAAGAAAAACTAGTAATAATAGAATTCCAGGAAACCACATTTCTCTCATCAATTTCATCAAAAACTTTCTTGGAAGCCTTCTCACTCCCACATTTCGCATAAAACTTAGCATCCAAAGCATAAAACTTGTCCTTTTAAAGGAGTTGGCCCGCAGCTTGGGCTTTAAAATGAATATATGTAGCAAACTTTCAAATTAGAAAGTACATTTTCAAAAGTATTGTACCAAAAATTCAAGTTAACATATGGGAAAGCAATTTTTTTTTAATAGTTATGCTTATTGTGCTTGAGTGGCATTCTGCAATTAATATACATCATATATCAAATACTATATGAATACTTAGGTTCGGTCTTCATTATTAACTAGATATTAACCGTGCAACGCACGGAAAATAATATAATATATTTTGAAAAAATTAAATTTATATTTAATAAATTTTTATTAAAATATATATTAAGTAAATGCTATTTAAAATTTTAATAATTAACAGAAATGATTTTATAATTTTTAACAAATTAACGTTACATATTTATAATTGATTTGCGATTAAGAGACTCTATTTGATTAATAGGTTGATTATTAAAAAAATACTCAATAAAAATTGTTTAAAAATAATAAATATTATACTTAATTGACTATAAATAAGAACTAATCAATTTTTTGAGATATATAAAACTTGATTTACTTTCATATTAATTTTGGTACTAATTATCAAAGAAAATTATGGTACTCTTTTATTTTAATGAAAATTTAGATAAAGTATTAAAGCACGTGAAATATAATAAGTGAGTATAAGTAATGCAAAATTTGTCTCTTGAGAATTATAATTTTTTTTCTACTTTTCAAGTATTTTATTCTATGTGAAAATGCATAAATGTGATAGAAATTCCTTTTAATTTTAAAAGATAGTTTAGTGTTATTATTATATTTTAAATGTAGGACAACAATTTAAATGATCATACATAAATTATAATAAATTAATAAAATTAATGCAAAATAATAAATACAATAAATTATGCATAAAAATACTTAAATTATAAATCAAATCATATAAATTAATTTTATTTTCTGTTATCAAAAAATTATGCATAATACAAATTGATATAAAAGAAGAATAATTTTTATTAGCATTAATTTTTATAAGATTCTTATTTGACTGTATTTTAGCTCTATAATTCAAATTAAGTTTCATTTTAATTAAGCTAATTTCTATAGCATTGTATAAAAAACCATACTCATACAGATATGTTAATCTAATTATATGTGTAGGTATCATACTTTAAAATAGATGAAAATAAAATTATTTGTAATAACTATTTAATTAATATAAATTAATTTAGATAAATATCTCATAATAAAATGAAATAATTATATTACAATATATATTGAGTAACTGCTATTTAAAATTTTAATTAACAGTTATATATTTATAATTGATTTACAATCAAGAGACCCAATTTGATTAATAACTTGGTTATTGAAAAATTAACTCAATAAAAAATATTTTTAAAAAAAATAAATATTATACTTAATTTGGTAAATAAAAATTAACTAATTGCTAGAGATATATAAATTTTGATTTACTAAATAATTTCATATTAATTTTGGTACTAAAATGAAATGGTTAATTATCATGTATAAATTAAAGAAAAATTGTAACAAATGTAAAAATGTAACAAATAACCAACCTACACCAAATGGAGAGACATTGAAAAAAGAAAGAAATAATTATAGAGAATGTAACAAATGTGTTGGTATCAAAATAGGTAATAAAAATAGGAATCAATTATCATTCTATCTACGAATATAAAATTTCTTTATTCCTTGATTTAATGGAATCGCAATATAAATTAGTGATAAAGAATGTAATTCTTAATATTACAAAATGAAATTTCATACATTTATTACAGTGATACATTCAAGTTGTGTGAAAATTGTTTCTTCTAGCCATAGGTCAGAGAACTTATAATGAAGGTCAAACGATACCTCTTTTTAATATAGATAAGATTGTAGTTGCTACAAATATGATTTCAATGTGGGAAAGAGGTCGTGGATGATAATGAAGAGGATGTTGATGCAAGAGACAATGTTGGGACAGGTGAGCTCAAGAGGGAAGAGGTTGATGTCAATGGAGGTGAAGGCAGTGGAGGAGAGTAGGATGGAGGCGTTGCAATCCTTGAGAAGGAAGAAGTAGTTGTGAAAGGAAGGGGCAGAGAGAGACAACAGTGAAAGGATTGACGTCATTGTGGAGAGTGAGAAACTCAAACATGAAAAGAGAGAGAGAGAGAGAGAGAGAGAGGAGGAGGAGGAGTGATATTGTAGAGAGTGAGACTTTTAGGTTTTATGACTTTTAAATCAGGATTTTAATGGATTCTAGAAGCCTTTTAAATCAGGATTTTAATGGATTCTGTGGGATTTTGTGTTATGTTGCAGGAGATCAGCATCATGAAGATGTTGGTGATGAGGCTTAAGGCTTCAGTTGGGTATGCTCTGATAGGATGTGACCTCGAGCATAGCTAGGCTTGTTTTTTGGATGTTATTATTTTAAAAAGCTTTAATTTTCTCTTCTTTTGTAATTTTGAACGTTCTTGAGAAAAGACCAAAATGTACATCTTCGTTATATTATTTTTATTACATGAATTGAAAGTTATAAATTAATTCCTAACTAGGAGGCACTGCCACCTTTGTTGGAATTAATCTATATTTTTTTTATATGATTTCTTGAATTTTAATACTTACATGTTGACTTGTTATGATTTATGAGTTACGAATATGAATCTTCTACCTTATGATATTTGAGACAATTCTTTTATCCATGAAAGATGTTAACTATGAAAGATTTTATTTACTCAAAAAGGAAAAAGAAACAATATTTTGTGTATTAATGTTGGGTAGAAGGTGTCACACAATCCATGGGTTAACTTTTTGGTTACTGAGCTAAATATAATGAACAATTTCCTTAGTCAATTCCATGCATAACCCAACTGTAACTCATAGAAGACTCAAACAAAACTGAACGCATGAATCAATGATGACTCTCAAACACTAAATTTAATTATTTGGCCCACTCACTCACATGGCTTGGTTAAGTGCTCTAGATCTCAACAACTTCAGACTTGTTTCAATTTCACTTGAACATACTTAAAGCACACACTTTAAGTAAAAAATGTACAACCACTTGTGCAATAATGTAGACTTCCATATTAGAAAACAATGCTCATTGAAAACTTGAACCATGAAAACGCTCAATTTAGAAAGATTATCAATTCAAGTCCAACAAAACCTTACTTCAAGACCATGAACCAAACACAAGTTCAACCACAAAAAGGTATCCAAGTAAACTAATTAACAAAACCACCAAAATTACTTACCAAATAGCGGATAAGAAAATAACCAAAAGATTGAAAAGTAAAGTGCTGCAAAAGAAGTAAAAACTGGAATTTAAAGTACTTAAGTGAAATAAAGCAAACTTTTCAGAAGATCCTTCAATCATCTTCTCCTCCATCATCACTCCCTTCCTCATCTCCAGCCTCTTCATCTCCATCTCCTTCTTCTTGCTCAGACTGGTCCTCATCTCCTTCAGCTTCTCCCTCTTGCTCAGGCTGTTCCTCCTCCCTTGGAAAGTTGGGGTTGTCCCCAGGCCATTGGAATTGCTGTTGACACATCTCAGTGGATGGCCATTGAAAAGGAGGGCCCCCGTAAAATTGTTGTTGATGTGCATGGTACATAATAATATTGAGGGATAGAAGTGCCAAGTGATTTTCCAAATTTTGTTGCTCAATATGCTGAAAGTGAGCAGCCATGAAAGTCTGTGTGGCAGTCTGAGGAGGTGGTGGTACCTACCAATGCTTGCGGGTCCTCACTCTAGAGGTCTTAGCCTGATTGTCGCTCTTGCAATGGATTTTGATATAAGTAGCATTAATTGGAGGGCGGATGGATTTGCTTAAGTGACTAGGAATTCAGGAACTAGCAGCTTGGCACAATCCCATGATAAGTCCCGGAAATCCCAAAGGCTTTGAGACACCAGTAGGAGATGGTGTAGACAGAATAGCCTGGTGAATCTCATTTGAAATAATAGTGGCCACATCCACTACAGTCTTCTATAGATAGAGATATAGTAGAATAAGGAAAATATTACAAAATGGCACATAAGCTTTTTCGTTGACATGGCAATACATAAGATTCATTTTAAAGTGATGTGTCGACGAGTGTAGCTCAATTTTTATATTATAATAGAGAAATTATAAATGAAGGAAAAAAAAGAGAAGGGAAGAGGAGGTAGAGAGAGCCGACGACAATGACGGAATTGATGTCAATATGGAGAGTGAAAAACTCAAACACACGAAAAGAGAGAGGAGGATGAGGAGTGATATTGTAGAGAGTAAAACTTTTAGATTTTATAACTTTTAGATTTTATAACTTTTAGTTTTTATAGAAATATAGTAGAATAAGGAAAAGATTACAAAATGACACATAATAAAAGTATAGAAGTATAGAACTCACCTTGGGGAAGCGGTAACAAGAATGAGCCTCTTAAAAAGCTCAGGTTTTTTGGTGGAGGCAAATGAACCGATCATAGCAGACATGGAATGTCCTACAAAAGTGACACATTTGAGGACCATCTCACCTATGATGGTGATTAAGTCATCAGCATAAGGTTTAAAGGATGTGTACTTGGCATGGTCATAGAGGTTCTTATCTGTCACAGTCCCAGAAAAGGGCCAATCAAAGAGAACTAAACTGTAATTTTCAGCTAAAAGAGGAATGATTTTGTCCCATATGGATTGGTCTGCTCCAAAACCATGACAAAAAACTATGGTTTCAATGCCTGAGCCTATGATTCTAGCATTTAAAGCTGCTGATAGGCTCTTTTGTGGTGTCATCATGCTTGTAAATATAGTTTAATAAGAAGGAAAGGAAAGAAGAAGAATGAGATATAGCATTTTTGGTGCTGTCTAATCTTAATTTATAGTCCTTTCCTTAAGAAATGGCTGAAAAGTAAATAATTAAATGCAAGAGATTGGAATTGTTAGAAACTCGTCTGTCAAGTGCCGTTTAATTAGTTATTGTGCAGCTATCGTTAAATTTAAAAACTAAAACTAAAATGATGGTAGTTTGACTTTGTCATTTTAAAAAAATTAAATTAGTAAAAAAAATCTTAATGGGGTGGTTCGAAACCCCAAGCGTGTAGTTCAGTGGTAGGGGTTGATCCACGCTTAAGCAAGGTCAGGGGTTCAAATCCTGCCTTGTGTATGTAGCCGCGGTAAATCTTGGGGCCAGCTATTCCACCCTTTGAGGTGCCTCCAACGTAGCGAGGAGATTAGTCACTGCTATCGGCGGTGAACACTCCAGGAACGAACAAAAAAAAATGGGGTGATTCGAGGAAATGTTGTCTTTTGAAAATAAATTTCAATTATTTTTACACAATTTTTTAAAATAGAAAATAAAGTAACATTTATTCAATTAAAAGTAGGAACAAAAATATCTGACAAATGAAATAAACCCTAAACCCTATTAATTAATTTGAGTTTCTACCTTTATGAGGCAGTATATATATTTACATAATACATAGTTCTATTAATTTTTTCTGTCCATACTGTGGGATAGAAAAGGAATAGTTGAAAGAATTACCACATTCATTCCGGGGTGAAGCTGATGTCAAGAAGATGCAGATGTAAGACAACTTGTTAGTTATCAATCCAAAGGAGATATATAGTTGTAAGTCAAGAGTTCTGCAATACACAAGTTCCAAATTCCACTGCACTGGTGTCGTAACAATGTAAACACTGCCTTCTATATAAATATAGGGTAAAAGTTACTTTTCATCCCTTTAAAATTTTTCAAATTCCCTTTCGATCTTCTTCAAATTTGCTTTGGATCTTCTAAAATTCTTATGTAATAAATTAGTCTCTCTAAAATTATAATATGCTAATTGGCTGATCCTTTTTGTAATTCCATCAATGATGGTGTTTTACATGGCAAATGAAAATACACGTGACAAACAAAAATCTTTTGTTATTCCCATTAAAAAAAATTAAATTTACTTTTGGCTCTCCATATATTTTTTGTATTAAAGAAGACTATGTAAAAGTAAAACAAGTTGAGTCTAGTCCTTTAAAGATGTTAATTCCATCTTGTTTAAGCTGGACAGTAGATAAAACTAGAACATTCTTTATTTTGTTCATTATTATAGTAATCTTATATTTGCAAGTTATTATTATGATGAAAATCATCTATTAGTAGAACATATTTTTTCTTATGTCAACGGGTGAAACATATTTCCTTTTGTTATGTCCACTACCGATGGAAATCTTAATTTTAGTATTAAGATGATCTAATTATATGTACTTCCCAATCTTTTAAGAAAAAAAATTAAATCTCTAAAGGATCAAATTTAGCACATTTTACTTTTACAGGAACTAGTTTAAAAAAAAAAAAAAAAAAAACATTGGATGACCAAAAGTGAATTTAAAAAAAATTGAGACAAAAAAAAACTTTTCATTTGTCACGTGTATTTTCATTGCTGATTTCCTAATTTAAACTAGTGGCTCTGATACTACTTATTGTGCATTAAGAGTTTATCACATATACATGTCTCTAAATTGATAAAATATTGTCACTTTAGACCTAAATCCTCGTAGTTTTGTTTTTAGTCATCTTCCAAACATTTTTTGGCAATACTCCTTTCTATTAAAGCATCGCCACTAAAAGAAAAACGCAAATTTCTAAGGAGCATAATCCATTGGTAAAAAGCAATATTCATCGGAAAAAGAGAATTTTTGACAGATTTATGACGGATGTAAATCCATAAGAAAAAGGGGCGTCAGAAAAAAAAAAATCTGTCAAAAATTTTTTGTTTAATTTTAATAAATTTATTAATGTAACACCCCTCATATTTGGTCAAGAGTTCCATTTCACGACACTTCACTTTACAACGTGCTTTATTCTTACTCGCACAATCTTTGAGAAACTTCCCAGAAGATCATTCATTCTTATATTACTTTAAGTCAAGCACGTTTAACTGTGGAGTTTTGATAAGATAAGCTACCGAAAAGTATATGCATTGTTAGTAGTACAAATTAATTCATTTTAGTCATCATCAACTATACAATCTTATACTTATACTATTTCTAGATCCCTCTCATTCCAGTGTATCTGGACTGTTATAAAAATATAATAATTATATTACCAATAATAAATATAATATTTAATTAATCTTTATTTATAAATATACTTACTTTTATAATTAACAATCTACTTATTTCTATTTAAAATTAATATTATGATACAATTTAAATTATTTATTATAAATTTAAAAGTTTAAATAATAATTTATATTTTTTTATAATTTATAATGATAATATAATTTATAAAATTATAAATATTATTTATTACACACTTATAAATTAAATTTTAATATTTTTAAATAAATTATTAATTAACTTAATATATTTATTTATCTTAAATCTAAGATATAAAATTCAAAAAATGTATTTATTCTTATTTTATTTTTTAATTATCAACTATTAATAAAAATACTAATTTAAAATCTTATCTAATTATATCATAATATTTTCATATCAAGTTTAAAATCATATATTAGTTATACAAAAATATCAAAGTTCATATAGTAAATTGTCAATAAGATTCTAGTTAAATAATTTAAAATAATTAATTTTTCAACTATATTGTTTGTAAATAATTTATTCCAAAACTAATCAATTTTTTCTATATTAGTTATTGGTAAATTTTAATAACTTTTAATTTAACAGTTAGATTAATGAAATTCAACATACACCATGAGTTATTGAACGGAGTAATTTTATCAAGAGTTACTTTGTGAGTCATTTGATTCCTCCTCCTCCGCCTCTCTCTCTCTCTCTCTCTCTCTCTCTCTCTCTCTATATATATATATATATATATATATATAGATAGATAGATATTTAAAATTTTATTGATCTTTTTTAATATATGATTGTCAATTTTAATCATTTTTATTGATATCGAACAAAATATTAAACATTTATAATGAATGCAATTTCTGATAGATTATTAAACATTTTTGACAGATCAAATTTTTGATAAATCATTATCTGTTAGTAACATTCCATCGAAAATTTTTTACTTAAGTATCTGTCGAAAATTTTTCGTCAAAAATTCTTACATTTTTGACAAATATAGATTCATCAAAAATATTTCATCGATAATATAACTTTTTCTACGAATTCTTTTTCATTGGAAATATAAATTTTCCGACAGATTTGTATCTGTTAGAAATTACCGACGTATATATCCGTCAGAAACATAAATTTTTCAATAGATTTGTATTCGTCAAAAATTATCTATTGGAAATATAAATTTTTCAACAGATTTGTATCCATCGGTAATATAATTTTTCCTACGAATTTTTTTTGTTGAAAATATAAATTTTTTGATAAATTTGTATCTGTCACAAATTATCCATTAATAATTTGCATTTTTCTTATAGTGTGTAGAACATTGTTGAGAGTGAGTCCTACAATAACTTCTACATTAAGGTATTAAAAGGGTTGATCTAAACTAAACTATCTATTAACTAAACTGAATTATAGAAACAGTTCATCTAAACTAACTAAATTATAAAATATATAGTTCAGGAAAACAACTAAACTATTTTCTAATTTAATAAACTACATTTCTAAAAGATCGAATTGTACTATAATTTAAACTTAACTGAATTCCTTTTTTACTATAGATTTAACTAAAGTACATTACAAAAAAATATTTCAAATTAACTCATTCTCAAACTTATACTAACACACTAAAATGTGTACAATGCGGTTTCATAACTAAATTATTTAAGTGGAACATAAACAAAGCAAATTAAAATATAAAAAAAACATATTTAAAACTATAATAATAACTTTCTAGCGTTGAATAATTTGATTTATAGTCAATATATTTTAAATAAAAGTTTAATTTTAATACATTGCTTAAATAATTATTCAAAAGATATATATCTTAATTATTTATGTTAATGTATAATTGGATAACAAAACTTTAAAAATATTTAAAATATATAATCTTATTTATAATAAAAAAATCATTACTTGTGCAGATTGAATACAATAATTATGCAAATGTTATTATAATAAAAAAAAAATTGTGACTAAAGTGCACTATGTGACACTCTTACTACCTCAACACATATATTGTAACAATGTAAATAAGCTAAAGAATAAATCTTTCAACGTTGGTAAAAGGATTCACATAAAAATCTTCACAAATGTTCTTGAATATCCAAAATGATTGAAAATAAATAAATTAGAAAATGAAACATAAGAGTTTACAAATTGTTTTTTTTTAAATAATAAATACAGTTCCAAATCCATATAAAAATTTCATGTCCTAGAAATCCTCTGCCCCGATGTCACAATATCAGAACATACTCACAATTCAATTGTTGACATTCTAGATGCCACTTATAGTCGGATCTTCCTCACCTAAAACATCCACAAGTTGTACGGTGAGAAAAGAAAACATCTATATGGAAAACACACAAGGAAAAACACAACATAATCTCATCATAACTCCTTAATGAAATATTCACAAGCATTTATATACATCATAATTTATCAATTATTCATCATCTTCACATCTCAATTACATCAATCCATCACAATCCACACAAATCTTACAATTAACACTATGCCAAGGCCACACCACAACTGACATAAGTGATACGGGTTAATTGTCTCACTCATCTCACACCATGCCAGGGTCACGCCCTCCCTGTAGCATCACTTACCTAGGGGTCGTTGCATCCCTGGTTATTGATGTGAGGAACCACAATCACATCACAATCTACACAAATCTTACAATTACCCCTATGTCGGGGCTGCCATAT